TTGTCACCCCATAAATACTGCATCCCAATTCCCCTTCACAAACACAACTGCTGATGTGTATAGTGATTGGAACATTCAGACAAAGAAAGACAGTGAAAGAGAGGAGAGGAGAGGAGGGGAGAGGAGGGGAGAGGAGGGCAGGGGAAGGGAAGGGAAGAAGAAAGAAGAGAGAGACAGAAGGAGAGGAGAGGAGAGGAGAGGAGGGCAGGGGAAAGGGAAGAAGAAAAAAGAAAGAAGAGAGAGACAGAAGGAGAGGAGAGGAGGGCAGGGGAAGGAAAGGGAGATGAAAGAAGAGAAAGACAGAAGGAGAGGAGAGGAGGACAGGGGAAGGAAAGGGAAGATGAAAGAAGAGAAAGACAGAAGGAGAGGAGAGGAGGGCAGAGGAAGAAAAGGGAAGAAGAAAGAAGAGAGAGACAGAAGGAGAGGAGGGCAGGGGAAGGGAAGAAGAAGGAGAGAGAGACAGAAGGGGAGGAGAGGAGTGCAGGGGAAGGGAAGAGAAGGGACAGAAAGGGAAGGGAAGAAGAAAGACGAGAGAGACAGATGGCGAGGAGAGGAGGGCAGGGGGAAGGAAAGGGAAGATGAAAGAAGAGAAAGACAGAAGGAGAGGAGAGCAGGGGAAGGGAAGGGAAGAAGAAAGATGAGAGAGACAGAAGGAGAGGAGTGGAGGGTAGGGGAAGGAAAAAGGGAAGAAAAAAAGAAGCGAGAGACAGAAGGAGAGGAGGGGAGGGCAGAGGAAGAAAAAGGGAAAAGAAAGAAGAGAGAGACAGAAGGAGAGGAGGGGAGGGCAGGGGAAGGAAAGGGAAGAAGAAAGAAGAGAGAGACAGAAGGAGAGGAGGGCAGGGGAAGGAAAGGGAAGAAGAAAGAAGAGAGAGACAGAAGGAGAGGAGGGCAGGGGAAGGGAAGAAGAAAGGAGAGAGAGAGACAGAAGGCGAGGAGAGGAGTGCAGGGGAAGGGAAGAGAAGGGACAGAAAAGGAAGGGAAGAAGAAAGACAAGAGAGAAAAAAAAGGAGAGGAGGGCAGGGGAAGGAAAGAAGAGAGAGACAGAAGGAGAGGAGAAAAGGGCAGGGGAAGAAGAAAGAAGAGAGAGACAGGAGAGGAGAGGAAAATAGAGATTTGAAAGAGGGCAGGGGAAGAGAAGAGTTAATAAGAGACAGAGTGAGAAAGAGAGGATAAAGAGAGAGAGAAAGAGGACAGAAGACAAGAGAGGGGGGGGGGGCAAAGAGAGAGGAGGACAGGGGAAGGGACAGGAAGGGAAGAAGATAAGAGAGGATAAGAGAGAATGATAGAGGAGAGAGGCAGTGAAATAAGAGAGGAAGGGGGAGAGAGAGGGGGGGGCAAAGAGAAAGGAGAAGAGAGGAGGGCAGTGAAAGGGAAGGGAAGGGAAGAAGAAAGAAGAGGGAGAAAGAGAGGATAGATAGAGAGAGTGAAAGAGGAAAGAATAAAGAAGAGGAGAGAAGCAGTGCAGGGGCTGGGAGAGAGAAGAGAGGAGGGCAGGGGAAGGGAAGAAGAAAGAAGAGAGAGAAAGGAGAGGGAGAGAGAGAGAGGGGGGGGGGGAGAAGGAAAGAAAAGGGAAGGGGAAGAGAAGAGAAGAGAAGGGAAAAAGAAAGAAGAGAAGCGAGAGAGAGAGAGAGAGCAAAAGAGGAGAAGGGAGGAGGGGAGATTAGAGAAAAGGGGGAGGGGAGAGGAAAAAAATGAAGAAGGAGAAAGAGAGGGAGGAGAGGAGAGAGAGGCGGCATTAAAGTTCTTGTAGGGAGGTGAAGGGAGGGTGGAGGAGCTGGGCCAGCACAGACATTAATCAGACATCCTCAGTAGAGGGGAGGGCTATGATATGTAAGGAGGGAGAGGGCTGTACCAGACAATTTATTCTCCTGGAATATAATTCTTTTTTTTTAGAATGGAAAAACTGCAAGTGAACATTTAAAATACCGGATTCTTCTGTGCTTTTACTTTTTTTCATCCAATTTGTAAGTTGGTGACAGGGCTTCTTTAAGGCACCTTCAGCAGCAAGTTGGTGTCCTGTCGCCCCCCCAGACTGGGAGCCAAGATGGAGTCTGCCCTGAGGTCCGGGTAACAGGCCGGCTGGGATAATGAAGGAAGACACCTATTGGGTGGAGAGAGTTGTTGGCGGTGACAGAATTTTCGCAGCTATTTCGCATGGTGATGTAAAGCGTCACCTTCCAGTCAAACCTCATCTGCTTCAGCGGCTAAAGTGAAAGGCGATCCATCTCGCCGCTGCGGCCGATGCGGCTGTCCAATTGGTGAAATGATTGGCCCTGTGCCCTCTGACAGTTACATCGCAGCGCCGATACGGCATAAATTCCAGACCTGAATCCGTCATTTTTTTGTCATTTTTAGAGGAATTTTGTCTTTCTTAAAGTGTCTAAGAAAAACCCATATACTCACCTGAGCCCAATCACGGTCTAGCAATGTGCAGGAGAGCAGCGGCTCCCCTGGGTCTCTCCCTCCTCATTGGCTCAGACACAGCAGCGGGATCCGTTGGCAGCCATGTTCTATCACATCTATAGTATATCCAGTATTTGTGCTCTGCGTTGCATTATGTATTATTATCTTGGTGCTGACATCTACTGGCAGGTCAGCATCACTACAGCATGTGTGTTACTGCATTTCTCAGTGGATCGACCCTGCTCCCCTCCCCTACCTGGTTCAGGCTAGTTAGTTTTATCTTTCAGGTAGGAGTCCCCCTCTTCTCCATGTTCCTTCAGTGAGCTGCTCGCCATCATCGCGGACATAAGGATGAGAAGACTACTTTCTCTTTGCACATCAAATGACCAATGTACATCCCTTGTACTGCATTTTAAAAAGTAAAATTACGTTGTCTTATTGGAGACATGGCCGGATGTACGAGGGGATGGGGTGGGCTCTGTCCTCCAACTTTCAGTTGTTCTTTTTCTGCCCTGCCAGCAGTGACCCCTGTCCTCTGCCCTCCCAGAGGTGACCACTGTCCTCTGCCCTGCCAGCAGTGACCCCTGTCCCCTGTCCTACCAGTAGTGACCCCTGTCCTCTGCCCTGCCAGCAGTGACCCCCCGTCCTCAACCCTGCCAGCAGTGACCCCTGTCCTCTGCCCTGCCAGCAGTGACTCCTGTCCTCCATCCTCCCAGAGGTGACCCCTGTCCTCTGCCCTGCCAGCAGTGACCCCTGACCTCCGCCCTGCCAGCAGTGACCCCTGTCCTCCCTCCATCCTCCCAGAGGTGACCCCTGTCCTCTGCCCTGCCAGCAGTGACCCCTGTCCTCCGCCCTGCCAGCAGTGACCCCTGTCCTCCGCCCTGCCAGCAGTGACCCCTGTCCTCCGCCCTGCCAGCAGTGACCCCTGTCCTCCGCCCTGCCAGCAGTGACCCCTGTCCTCTGCCCTGCCAGCAGTGACACCTGTCCTCCACCCTGCCAGCAGTGACCCCTGTCCTCCGCCCCCTGCCAGCAGTAACCCCTGTCCTGCCAGCAGTGACCTCTGTCCTCCATCCTCCAGAAGTGCCCTCTGTCCTCCATCCTGCCAGCAGTGACCCCTATCCTCTGCTCTGCCAGCAGTGACCCTTGTCTTCCACCCTGTCAGCAGTGACCCCTGTCCCCCATCCTCCCAGAAATGACTCCTGTTCTCTGCCCTGCTGACCCCTTTCCTCCACCCTGCAGACCTTGTACACTGCTCTTCTGATCTCTGTGTTCCGCCCTGCTGATGCCTGTCCTGCACCGTGTGGTTCCCGTTTCTCTGTCCCGCTGATCCCATACACTTTCCTTATGACCCATGTACTCCCTACTGCTCACCCCTGTGCACTGCTCTACAAACTAATGGCCTCTGTATACTGCCCTACAAAACTGCTGACCCCTATCCTCTGCCCTGCTGCCCCCTCTACACTGCCCTGCTGACCTCCAATCCTCTGTTCCCCCTGACATTTTGTACTGCACCCCTACATCAGACAAGCTAGATTTGGCCCTGACTGGAGAGGGCTTATTCAGCAGGTGACCATACTGGTGGGCCGAGGTCTTAAAGAAGTATGTAAATATAAAGCTGCACTTAAACAAGAACATACACTATATTGCCCCAAGTATTAGGCCACCAGCCTTTCCACACACATGACCTTTAATGGCCCCCCCAGTCTTAGCCCGTAGGGTTCAATACTGAGTTTGCCCCGCCCTTTCCACGCACATGACCTTTAATGGCCCCCCAGTCTTAGTCCGTGAGGTTCAATATTGAGTTGGCCCCGCCCTTTCCATACACATGACCTTTAATGGCCCCCCCCACCAGTCTTAGTCCGTAGGGTTCAATATTGAGTTGGCCCCGCCCTTTCCACGCACATGACCTTTAATGGCCCCCCAGTCTTAGTCCGTAGGGTTCAATATTGAGTTGGCCCCGCCCTTTGCAGCTATAACAGCTTCAACTCTTCTGGGAAGGCCGTCCACAAGGTTTAGGAGGGTGTCTATGGGAAGGTTGGACCATTCTTCCAGAAGCACATTTGTCAGGTCAGGCACTGATGTCGGGGGAGGAGGCCTGGCTCGCAGTCTCCGCTCTAATTCATCCCAAAGGTGTTCTATGGGGTTGAGGTCAGGACTCTGTGCAGGACAGTCAAGTTCCTCCACCCCAAACTGGCTCCTCCATGTCTTTATGGACCTTGCTTTGTGCATTGGTGGGCAGTCATGTTGGAAAAGGAAGGGGCCATCCCCAAAACTCCTCCCACAAAGTTGGGAGCATGAAATTGTCCAAAATGTCATCTTAAGAGTTCCCTTCACTGGAATTAGGGGCGAAGCCCAACCCCTGAAAAACACCCCCACACCATAATCCCCCTCCACCAAACTTTACACTTGGCACAATGCAGTCAGGCAAGTACTGTTCTCCTGGCAACCACCAAACCCAGATACGTCCATCGGATTGCCAGACAGAGAAGCGTGATTGGTCACTCCAGAGAACATGCCTCCATGGCTCTAGAGTCCAGTGGCAGCATGCTTTACCCCACGACATCCGACGCTTTGCATTGCACTTGGTGATGGAAGGCTTGGATGCAGCTGCTCGGCCATGGAAAACCCATTCCATGAAGCTCTCTATGCACTGTTGTTGGGCTCATCTGAAGGCCACACCAAGTTTGGAGGTCTTTAGCTATTGACTCTGCAGACAGTTGGTGACTTCTGCGCACTGTGCGCTTCAGCATGCGCTGACCCCGCCCTGTCATGTGACGTGGCCTACCACTTGGTGGCTGAGTGGCTGTTGTTCCCAGTTGCTTCCACTTTGTTATAATCCCACTAACAGTTGAGCGTGGAATATTTAGTAGCCAGGAAATGTCACGGATGGACTTATTGCCCAGGTGGCCACCTATCACGGGACCACGTTTGGAGTCACTGAGCTCCTGAGAGCGACCCATTCTTTCACCAATGTTTGTAGAAGCCGTCTGCATGCCTAGGGGCTTGATTGTATACACCTGTGTCCATGGAGGGGATTGGAACACCTGAATCACATGATTGGGAGGGGATTGGAGCACCTGAATCACGTGATTTGGAGGGGATTTGAACACCTGAATCACGTGATTTGGAGGGGATTGGAACACACCTGAATCACGTGATTTGGAGGGGATTGGAACACCTGAATCACGTGATTTGGAGAGGATTGGAACACCTGAATCACATGATTTGTAGGGGATTGGAACACCTGAATCACGTGATTTGGAGGGGATTGGAACACCTGAATCACGTGATTGGGAGGGGATTGGAGCACCTGAATCACGTGATTTGGAGGGGATTTGAACACCTGAATCACGTGATTTGGAGGGGATTGGAACACCTGAATCACGTGATTTGGAGGGGATTGGAACACCTGAATCACGTGATTTGGAGAGGATTGGAACACCTGAATCACGTGATTTGGAGGGGATTGGAACACCTGAATCACGTGATTTGGAGGGGATTGGAACACCTGAATCACGTGATTTGGAGGGGATTGGAACACCTGAATCACGTGATTTGGAGGGGATTGGAACACCTGAATCACGTGATTTGGAGGGCGAGGACAATACTTTTGGCAATATAGTGTATCTAACTAGCACCCCAATGCAGTATAAAAGTTTTCTTTGTTTCTTGCATAGTTCAGCTGCTGTGAGCTCTACAACTAAGCCCATGAGTGGGTGAAATGCGTTTTGAGGGGTGTGTTTTGGGAGGAGATGAAGACGAAGCCTTTCTGATACACATGGAACCAGGCGGCTTCCCAGGGTGTACAATAGTTTCTCCGTTTTCACAGTCGGCTATTGGGAGAACGGGGCCCTTGTGCAGCCAGCTCCCGGCAGTGTTGGAATCGCCGGGTTGAATATGGTGGGTTTTTGAGCGGCACGTCTGATTGGGTCTCAGCTGCGTTGAAGCCATGAATGGAAAAGAAAAAAAAATGAAACAAAGTACATCGTCTCCTTTAAATGCCCAGGGACCGGACGCCGCTTGTGAAGAGGATATATCATCCTCTTGGACCGCGCAGCAGACGGTTTCTAAGAAACAAAATAGAACCTTTAGTGGCGTCTCGGCCTTCCTGGCTGTATGGAGGATGGAGTCATATCGCGGCGAAGCAGAGAAAGGCGACTTTCTGAATCCTGGTGACGGCATGAAGTCTAAATTAAACCCAGAAGCTGCGAGACAGTCCAGGAGGGGAGATTAGTTCACAGTCGGAATTAAGCATGTGAATAGAATCCAACGGCTGCCAAGGAGGATGCGCACGGCTCGACGCGCTCTCTTAAACACTGACCGAGCCCTAAATCTCCAGACTGAGCAAATCCTAAACAAAGAGGCCATAAAAAAAAAAAACTCGCCTATTTCTCTCAAGTATGTTCTTACATTAATGGGAATCCACAGCCTTACGGTTGTGTAGAGCCGGTCCCATCCTTTACAATCTGGCTGTAAAGCCCCCTGTAGGACAATCATACTCATTACAATCCGATTGGACAATCTACCAACAGCTATGGAGCACAAAAGTCTGTCTGACTGGATACAACTTGGATTTTAAAATATTAAGCGGGTGGATTCATTAAACTCATACAGCTGGTTCTCACATAAGCAAAATACAGCATGTGTCAGACAAGCGTGATGACGTCAGCCAACATGGTTCATCGCTAGAGGACGTCTTCAGGGACACTCTGCATAGGCATTTGCCACAGAGCATTGTAAATGAGGGGAAACTGTTGACTTCCATCATCCAATCATGTGCAAACTAAAATTTATTTATTACAGGTATTTATATATTGGTGACGATTTACATAGCATATTACATACAGCTGTGTTAGAAAAATTTGCGTCCTCTAGCAGAAATCGTGAAATGTTGTCATTGATAATATGACTGATCATTCCAAAAAACTGTCTTTTATTTAACCACTTCCCAACCGCGCTATAGCCCAAAGACGGCTACAGCGCGGTTGTCTAGTTCTGGGAGGGCGTCCATGGACGTTCTCCCAGAACACGCCCCCTGCGTGCCCCCAGCAGCGTGCACCTAGACACAGCGTATCACACGATACGGTAAAAGTGCCACCTCATCAGTGCCCATCAGTGCTGCCTAACCATGCCACCTCATCAGTGTCCATCAGTGCTGCCTATCAGTGTCCATCAGTGCTGCCTATCCGTGCCACCTCATCATTTCTTGTCAGTGCTGCCTATCTGTGCCACCTCATCATTGCCCATCAGTGCTGTCTATCTGTGCCACCTCATCAGTGCCCATCAGTGCTGCCTATCTGTGCATCCATGCCTATTAGTGCTGCCTATCCGTGCCACCTCATCCGTGCCTATCAGTGCTGCCTATCCGTGCCACCTCATCATTGCCCATCAGTGCTGTCTATCTGTACCACCTCATCAGTGCCCATCAGTGCTGCCTATCAGTATCCATCAGTGCTGCCTATCAGTACAGCCTCATCAATGCACATCAGTGCTCCCTATTCGTGCCACCTCATCATTGCTTGTCAGTGCTGCCTATCCGTGCCACCTCATCATTGCCCATCAGTGCTGTCTATCTGTGCCACCTCATCAGTGCCCATCAGTGCTGCCTATCTGTGCCACCTCATCCGTGCCTATTAGTAGTGCTGCCTATCCGTGCCATCTCATCATTGCCCATCAGTGCTGTCTATCTGTACCACCTCATCAGTGCCCATCAGTGCTGCCTATCTGTGCCACCTCATCCGTGCCTATCAGTGCTGCCTATCCGTGCCACCTCATCATTGCCCATCAGTGCTGTCTATCTGTACCACCTCATCAGTACCCATCAGTGCTGCCTATCAGTACAGCCTCATCAATGCACATCAGTGCTGCCTATCCGTGCCACCTCATCATTGCTTGTCAGTGCTGCCTATCCGTGCCACCTCATCATTGCCCATCAGTGCTGTCTATCTGTGCCACCTCATCTGTGCCTATCAGTGCTGCCTATCCATGCCACCTCATCAGTGCCCATCAGTGCTGCCTATCTGTGCCACCCCATCCGTGCCTATCAGTGCTGCCGATCCGTGCCACCTCATCATTGCCCATCGGTGCTGTCTATCTGTACCACCTCATCAGTGCCCATCAGTGCTGCCCATCAGTGCTGCCTATCAGTGCCCATCAGTGCTGCCTATCAGTATAGCCTCATCAATGGACATCAGTGAAGGAGAAAAATGACCTGTTTGCTAAATTTTTATAATAGAAACAAAGAAAAACTTTTTTTTTTTTGCTCTTTGTTTATAGTGCAAAAAAATAAAACACCCAGCTGCAATTTAATACCACCAGAAGAAAGCTCTATTTATGTAAAAAAATGATACAAATTTCATACGGGTACAGTGTTGCATGACCGCGCAATTGTCATTCAAAGTGCAATAGCGCTGAAAGCTGAAAATTGGCCTAGGCAGGAAGGGAGGGGGGGGGGGGAAGTGCCCGGTAGGCGAGGGGTTAAGGATAGTGATGATATGAAGCCATCAGAAAAGAACTGTCATAATATCTGCGTAACAAGGTAATGGATCTTTATAAAGGTGGAAAAGGACATGAAAAGATACCCAAAGCCTTGAATATGCCAGTCAGTACTGTTTAATCACTTATTAAGAAGTGGACAGTTCGGGGACTCCTTGATACCAAGCCAAGGTCAGGTAGACCAAGAAAGACACAACTGTAGCCACAACTGCCAGAAGAATTGTTTGGGATACAAAGAAAACCCCCACAGGTAACCTCAGGAGAAATACAGGCTGCTCTGGAAAAGTACAGTGTGGTTGTTTCAAGGAGCACAATACAGCATTACTCAAAAATGAGCTGCATGGGTGAGTTGCCAGAAAGAAGCCTTTACTGCGCCAATGCCACAAACAAGCCCAGTGAGGTGTGTTAAGGTGTTGTCGGGCATATTGTAACCGGGCTTTTTTGTAGCATTGGCATAGTAAAGGTATCTTTCTGGCAACTCAACCATGCAGCTCGTTTTTGTTCAGGTATCTGTTATCATTATGATTTAAAAAGGAGCCAAACAACTATGTGATAATAAATGGCTTCATATCATCAGTATCTTTGAATAAAAAAAACTTTTTTTTTTGGCATGATCAGTCATATTTTCATCATCAATGCCAAACTTTCACCATTTCTGCCAGGGGATGCAAGCCTTTGAGCACAACTATATACACTATATTGCCAAAGGTATTGGCCCTGCCCTCCATATCATGTGATTCAGGTGTTCCAATCCCCTCCATGGACACAGGTGTATACAATCAAGCCCCTAGGCATGCAGACGGCTTCTACAAACATTGGTGAAAGAATGGGTCGCTCTCAGGAGCTCAGTGACTCCAAGCGTGGTCCCGTGATAGGTGGCCACCTGTGCAATAAGTCCATCCGTGACATTTCCTGGCTACTAAATATTCCACGCTCAACTGTTAGTGGGATTATAACAAAGTGGAAGCAACTGGGAACAACAGCCACTCAGCCACCAAGTGGTAGGCCACGTCACATGACAGGGCGGGGTCAGCGCATGCTGAAGCGCACAGTGCGCAGAAGTCACCGACTGTCTGCAGAGTCAATAGCTAAAGACCTCCAAACTTGGTGTGGCCTTCAGATGAGCCCAACAACAGTGCGTAGAGAGCTTCATGGAATGGGTTTCCATGGCCGAGCAGCGCCATCCAAGCCTTCCATCACCAAGTGCAATGCAAAGCGTCGGATGCCGTGGTGTAAAGCACGCCACCACTGGACTCTAGAGCCATGGAGGCATGTTCTCTGGAGTGACCAATCGCACTTCTCTGTCTGGCAATCTGATGGATGTGTCTGGGTTTGGCGGTTTGCCAGGAGAACGGTACTTGCCTGACTGCATTGTGCCAAGTGTAAGGTTTGGTGGAGGGGGGTGTGGGGTTGTTTTTCAGGGGTTGGGCTTGGCCCCCTAGTTCCAGTGAAGGGAACTCTTATGGCGACATTTAGGACAATTTCATGCTCCCAACTTTGTGGGAAGAGTTTGGGGATGGCCCCTTCCTGTTCCAACATGACTGCACACCAGTGCACAAAGCAAGGTCCATAAAGACATGGAGGAGCCAGTTTGGGGTGGAGGAACTTGACTGTCCTGCACAGAGTCCTGACCTCAACCCCATAGAACACCTTTGGGATGAATTAGAGCGGAGACTGCGAGCTAGGCCTCCTCCCCCGACATCAGTGCCTGACCTGACAAATGTGCTTCTGGAAGAATGGTCCAACCTTCCCATAGACACCCTCCTAAACCTTGTGGACGGCCTTCCCAGAAGAGTTGAAGCTGTTATAGCTGCAAAGGGCGGGGCCAACCCAATATTGAACCCTACGGACTAAGACTGGGGGGCCATTACCCTAGGCATTTTGCGTGGGCACGAGAGCCCATTCATAGGAATGGACTCCCGTGCACCGTGACATGCAGGGAAGAAGTCCAGGGCACTGGTATGGAAGTGATCAGGGTGCTGGTAGGGAGTATGGCGCTGATAAGGACACTGGTATGGAGTATTTTGGTGATCAGGACGCTGGTATTGTGTATTGTCATAATCTGGGAACTGGTATGGGGGTGATCAGAATGCTGCTATGGGGTATGGTGGTGATCAGGATGCTGGTATGGGGTATGGTGGTGATCAGGACGCTGGTATGGGATATGGCAGTGATCAGGACGCTGGTATGGGGTATGGGGGTGATCAGGACGCTGGTATGGGGTATGGGGGTGATCAGGACGCTGGTATGGGGTATGGGGGTGATCAGGACGCTGGTATGGGGTATGGGGGTGATCAGGACCCTGGTATGGGGTATGGCGGTGATCAGGGTGCTGGTATGGAGGTGATCAGGACGCTGGTATGGAGGTGATCAGGGCGGTGGTATGGGGTATGACGTTGATCAGGGCGCTGGTATGGAGTATGGTGGTGATCAGGGTGCTGGTATGGAAGTGATCAGGGCGCTGGTATGGAGGTGATCAGGATGCTGGTATGGGGTATGGAGGTGATCAGGACGCTGGTATGGGGTATGGAGGTGATCAGGACGCTGGTATGGGGTATGGTGGTGATCAGGATGCTGGTATGGGGTATGGAGGTGATCATGACACTGGTATGGGGTATGACGATGATCAGGACGCTGGTATGGGGGTGATGGGTATGGCGGTGATCAGGATGCTGGTATGGCGGTGATCAGGACATTGGTATGGGGTATGGCAGTATTATTTTGAGCACTGGGACAGGTGACAGGTGCTGGCTGCATGTGTTATTAGGACTACACTGGGATAGTAATCAGGGACACCGGGGTGGCTGGTACTGCAGTCTGTGAGTGACATGCAACCTGACAGGCAGTGTACATACACATGGAGAGCAGAGAGAAGCAATCTTTACTTTCACTTGTTATTGTTTACTATGTGATTGCTGTGATTGGACACAGCAATCACATGGTAAACTACCATGTGACCACCTGGACACAGTTGTAATGTGAGCCGATATATCCAGGTTCCACATAGATGTCTGGGCTCCCGGGGTGCGCGCTCTGTGAACTGCGCAGGAGACTCCTATGCAGGTTGACCTACAGGTAGCCCGCATCGGCGCTGCTTCCCATCTGCTGTCTATAGGCAATGCCTGGACGGGAAGCAATTAAAAACAATAGTAGTACACTCACAAGGATGAAAACAGTAAACACCAAAAGGTACTCAGGGGGGGGGGGGGGGGGGGCAAGCCAAGTCCCACTGTCAGGATGAATGGATGGATCAACTGTGGCTCACCTGCAACTGACCTGCAGATGGAGATAGCACCGGCTTCCTTTCTTCCTTGGCCCTTCTTGGCTTCCTCCCTCCTGATGACAGCAGTGAATAGGTGATGCTCCCCTCAAGTGTGGTGGGTCACAGGTTGGGTTTACAGGAATCTTCTTGTTCCTCAGCTATGTGATAACATGGGCAGATGACACATACTTTTTATTGAGACATCGGGGGTCTATGAGAGGTCTATTAGACCCCCAATGTCTTCCTTGTCTCCCAATGCAGCTGTTCTAGCACAGATCGCACTTTAATAGCTGCATTCTCGGCTACGCTAGCCAAGGAATGACAGTTGTGACCCCAGAAGTGATATAATAAAAGTTACTTCCAGGGTCATTAGTCACAGGTAGGATTCCTCCTGCTCTCACTGCATGAGCAGTTTCACACGGTGGTGCACGCTGGGGGTGGGGAAGGGGTGCACTTTGAGAACCTCATAAAAGTGATCTGGTGACTCTGGAGCCACCTGGATCGCTTTTATTGGAAAGAACCTCACCAGTTGGTAAAGCCGGCACCAAGCTCACAACTGCCACAGCAGCTGTGAGCTTGATTTAGCCACTTGGCCACCATGCCATTTATAAATGTACCATTGTATACAAGCAGTTAAGGACCAACCAGTGTATGAAGTTCCATACTTTGGAGTTTGAAAAATAGATCCCCATGAGAAATGTCCATATATAAGCTTTCTCATTTGCTTCTCAGATGTGGAGATTGTAGGTCCACGCATAAGGATATATTCAGAAAGAAGTTTATTGACTGTATGTATCCAACCTGTGTCAGGGGCCCAAAATCGCCCCTTCATCAGACATGGTGGTAACGTATGGTTCATAATGTGCAGAAGCCATGATATCTCCAACCTATCCTTAGACATACCACAACGGGTGCCTCTACAGGTCGGACCACCAATGGGCTCTTTAAGCCCCTTTAAGCTCATTTATCCCTGTTCTTGTTCAATTGGTTTAGTAAATCACCCGCATTGAGCGAGTTCCCATGAGGGAAGTTCTAGAGATGTGAATGGGAAGAAAGCTGAGAGTTGTGGGTCCTTCTAGTTACATAGTTAATCTGCTTGAAAATAGACAAAAGTCCATCCAGTTCAACCATTAAAGACCATCAGAAGGCATGTTTGGGTAGTAGGTGGCATTGAGGATGGAGATATTGGATGAGGCGATACCATGAAGGATTCTGGAACAGCATCAATAGAATTTAGAATTTTATTCAGAGAATATTATCAACCAGGGAGCACCAAAAAGCAGCAAAGTCACCCTAGCCATAGATCTTAAGGAACCATACCTAACCACCATCCGACCATCACAGAGAAAAGTCAGTCTAGTTGTATTCCAAAGCCGAATGAACATGAGCTTGTAGAAGACCCAACCGTCAAGAATGACAGGCGATGAACCACAACCCCTGCAGGCTCCAGCATGCTCTTCAGGACGGACAAGAGTGTAACTCATTTATCCCTGTTCTTGTTCAATTGCTTTAGTAAATCACCCACATTGAGCAAGTTCCCATGAGGGAAGTTCTAGAGATGTGAATAGGAAGAAGGCTGAGAGTTGAGGGTCCTTCTAGTTACATAGTTAATCTGGCTAAAAAAAGACAAAAGTCCATCCAGGTCAACCATTAAAGACCATCAGAAGGCATGTTTGGGCAGTAGGTGGCCTTAAGGGTGGAGATATTGGATGAGGTGGTACCATGAAGGATTCTGGAACAGCATCATTAGAATTTAGAATTTTATTCAGAGAATATTATCAACCAGGGAGCACCAAAGAGCAGCAAAGTCACCCATAGCCATAAATCTTAAGGAACCATAGGATACCTAACCACCATCCGACCATCACAGAGAAAAGTCAGTCTAGTTGTATTCCAAAGCCGAATGAACATGAACTGTAGAAGACCCAACCGTCAAGAATGACAGGCGGGTGGACCACAACCCCTGCAGGCTCCAGCATGCTCTTCAGGACGGACAAGAGTGTAACTCATTTATCCCTGTTCTTGTTCAATTGCTTTAGTAAATCACCCACATTGAGCAAGTTCCCATGAGGGAAGTTCTAGAGATGTGAATGGGTAGAAGGCTGAGAGTTGAGGGTCCTTCTATATAGTTACATAGTTAATCTGGCTAAAAAAAGACAAAAGTCCATCCAGTTCAACCATTAAAGACCATCAGAAGGCATGTTTGGGCAGTAGGTGGCTTTAAGGGTGGAGATATTGGATGAGGCGATACCATGAAGGATTCTGGAACAGCATCATTAGAATTTAGAATTTTATTCAGAGAATACTATCAACCAGGGAGCACCAAAGAGCAGCAAAGTCACCCATAGCCATAAATCTTAAGGAACCATAGGATACCTAACCACCATCCGACCATCACAGAGAAAAGTCAGTCTAGTTGTATTCCAAAGCCGAATGAACATGAACTTGTAGAAGACCCAACCGTCAAGAATGACAGGCGGTGGACCACAACCCCTGCAGGCTCCAGCATGCTCTTCAGGACGGACAAGAGTGTAACTCATTTTTTAGCGCTAGACGAAACTTAAGCTGGCACCGGGAATATTTTTGTAAATTGGTCTTTTGCTCGTATGACTGCCGTTTTTCTTTCCACGGAGGGAAAAAACCAACACAGTTCTCGAATCCCCCACCCAATTCCAGCTCTCCTTTCCAAAGGATACAATCCTTAGGAAATCCTAATGAATCTGTAGCTACTTAGGTTAATTATCCAGTCGCCTCCCCTTTGGTAAATAATTAAGAGAGATAATTTGATAGAAGACTTTTCCTGTATTTAGGCTTTAAGATGGAGAAGCCTTCACCTTCTTCTGGTTTTTTTTTTTATTTTTCTAAGGGAACTTTAGACTCGTTGTGGATGGAAAAAAAAACCGACCGAGTAAGAAGCTTCCTTCTGTGTAAATAAATAAATATTTAAAGAAAAGAAAAAAAATATATATATATCTGCGCCCAAGTTCTAATGAAATTACCTTGATGGATACTATTTTTAGGTTTGATTGAAGATTAGGTCATTGTGCCCGGCCCTTGAAACGGGTCAAAAGCTACTTGCATCATGTTCCTCCATTACTCACCATTACTCGTAGTGTATGAGGCTGGATCTGGTTATTAAAGGTGAACTTTGAAAAGTGTTATTTGCACCCAGACTGGCCAAGTAGCAAAGTCTTGAAGGAGAAAAAGAGGCGCCTCTAAGTGTAGACGTAAAAAGGTCAAGGTCTGTTGTAGACAGACCGGGATTGTTTTCAGTGGGAACGCAGGGGGAACCCGGCACCTCCAGCACTGAATGTATACAATGGCAATGGGGTGCTGGGGTCTATTGATGCTGGCTGGTTGGGGATCTATTGTTGCTGGGAGGGATCTTCTGTTGAGGAAGGGTCTATTGTTGCTGACTGCTGGAGAGTGTATTGGTGCTGGTTGCTGGGTGATCTGTTGTTGCTGCTGGGGGTCTGCTGTTGCTCGGGTGGTATTTTGTTGCTTGGGGAGTCTATTGCTGCTGGCTGCAGGGGATCTATTTTACTGCTTATCTTGTTATTATTAACAAATTCCAAAGAAATTACTTAGCACCACAAAATGATGCTTGGTTGTGTATCCTCTATAAGGAGCGGTACTGGGAGGTGGGTAGGAGATGGAACCAAGGGACAGTGCTCATAGGTGGGTAGGGAGTTGAACCAGGGGACAGTGCTCGGAGGTGGGTAGGGAGTGGAACCAGGGGACAGTGCTCGGAGGTGGGTAGGGAGTGGAACCAGGGGACAGTGCTCGGAGGTGGGTAGTGAGTGGAACCAGGGGACAGTGCTCGTAGGTGCGTAGTGAGTGGAACCAGGGGACAATGCTCAGAGGTGGGTAGGGGGTGGAACAAGGGATGGTGCTCGGAGGTGGGTAGTGAGTGGAACCAGGGGACAGTGCTCGGAGGTGGGTAGGGGGTGGAACCAAGGGACAGTGCTCGTAGGTGCGTAGTGAGTGGAACCAGGGGACAATGCTCAGAGGTGGGTAGGGGGTGGAACAAGGGATGGTGCTCGGAGGTGGGGTAGGGGGGTAGAACCAAGGGACAGTGTTCGTAGGTGGGTAGGAGATGGAATTAAGGGACGGTGCTCAGAGGTGGGTTGGGGGTGGAACCAAGGGACAGTGCTCGGAGGTGGGTAGGAGATGGAAGCAAGGGATGGTGCTTGGAGGTGGGTAGGGGGTAGAACCAAGGGACGGTGTTCGGAGGTGGGCAGGAGATGGAACCAAGGGATGGTGCTCGGAGGTTGGTAGGGGGTGGAACCAAGGGACAGTGCTCGGGGGTGGGTAGGAGAT